TATTTTTTTCTTTCAGAAAGTTTAAACACCTTTTTTTTCAAGTTGAACCTTACAAAGTGTCCTTAAATTTGCTCAGCACTGTAATTGTTTGAAAATTACTGTCAATTTAAGGCTGAAGTTAAATGCAGTTATCATCGTAACTTGCAATTGGATCTTAATTTCCGGCAACATCAATTTGGGAAAAATTCAATAAAAGTTGAAAAAATAACTAATTGCATTTGCTGTTAATTGAAAAAAAATTGTCAAAACAAGCATTGTTTGAAATTACAAATACCACATCATAAAAATATTCATTCTGAAACGGTCACCAGTAACATTGTTCAAAAAATAAAACATGAATCCTTACCTGTTGGGATGCATGGACAGCGGGTGAGTAGGACCGCATAGCCAGAGCAAATCGGAGCAGATTCACCTGAAGATGTGACAGGAACTGAGCTGCCTTTTTGATAATCAAGTTGTAATATGAGCGCACAGATTCTGAAAGATCAATGAAAGCCATTTAGAAGTGTGAGAGGTGGCTAACCCATAAATTTGTTGCGAAAATGCAGACTCTAAAGGAGGAACAAAAACAAACCTCCTTGCTTGTAAACAGTCAGTTCCTTAACAGTGTCCACAAAGTGCCAGAATTTTTCATTCCCATCTTCTGCAATAAACTCACTGCATGGAAAAATAAATAAATCACTCACGACTAATAATTACCACATTTTCTAATAACACAAAACGGTCCATCTCAGGAATAAAAGTCATCTGCTTTCCTTTTTTAAAACTACAAGCTGATGCTCTGTCTTGCAGCTAAGACACAAATGTCCAGGCACAACATCGTTTCTTATTGGTTCCGCTATCGGGATAGAACCAATAATGGTTACAGTGAGCGGTTCGGTAAATATAACACAGTTATTGTCAATTATTTTAATGTTTGATATGAATTTCAAAAGTATAATCCAATTTATGGTGTGGTAACAATTTTAAGACCTATGAAAGACTGATTTAAGACACTTTAATACCAATTAAGGCCTTGATTTTATATTGAAAAATTAATTGCCTTTTAAGACTTTTTAAGGATCTGTAGGAACCTTGTAATATATATATATATATATATATATATATATATATATATATATATATATTGTATTTCAATAAAAAAAAATGCTTTCAAATAATAATGGACGAATTTTGAAAAAGATTAATAGCCAAAACAAATAGAAATGCCTCCTTGCCATGTAGGGAAAGAGAAATTCAACTAAATCAAATCTTCCTTTAACCTCTTGAGAGCTCGGGTAATAAATATTAGTATCTGTGAACTTAAAGGGGAACCTTAAAAGCAACAAATACGTTATATTTAATAATTCAGCGTGGATTTGGTCTTGTTTATCACAAATCAATAACAATTTCATGATGTGTTCCCAGTGATCACTAATGTACCTGGCCTCCAGGAGGAAGGGTGTCATGCTCCACCTGGCTTTCAGGCTGGCCGTGACGCCTTTGGGAGCTGCTGTAGCCTGATGCATGTTCAATAGCAGAAGGGACAGGAGTAAAACCTTCTCCATTGTCACGGAGGAACGGGAACCTGAAGGGGGCAAACACGGCGCCGTTAGCTCAGCTCGTCTGTCCTTCAAGAAGTGTATCAGTGCCACGTAGTTACTGTAAACTATTTGCCGACAAAAAAAAAAAAAAAACGTGACTGAAACTCAGGAATACAGAGTCCTACTAGTTCATAGCACGGTACGAGTTAGCAACAAACGAGCAGTTATATTGCATGTATCGAGTTATAGTTTTATATATAAAATAACGGCTACACATTCAACACATTAACTGAGTTAACTAAGGTTAACTCAGCTGCAGAGTCGAAAGGATGGGTGCTACTATAAAATAAATATATATAGCAGGGTGTTATAAATTATCGCTGTTACTATCGTTATCGACTATAAACATACTAGGTCTTACTTCACTGGTGATGCTGACCGCTTCCATACAAATCCAAGGGGGCTTCAGGTTGGAGCAGCTAGCCGCAGCTAGCGAGTACCTAGGGGTTCGTGTGGTATGGTACTCAGAGAAACCGTTATTCTCGTTTGGACTAAAGTTAAAAAAAAAAAAAAAAAGTGAATAAATATCAAGATAATTTTTATTCAAGAGGAAAATGTAACTTAACGGCATCCCAAAGATAGAAAATGTATGATTAAAAAAAAAAAATACAGTGAAAATGTGGGATTTTCTTTCTGGCACGGCGATAGACAGCTACTTTAAGTACTAAGGATTATTCCTATACAGTTTTTCCCAAAACACCCGATATCGCGTTTTACCCAAGTAGGCGGAGTGGACATGTATTTGGTGTATTATGATACTTAAAAACACTTAATACAATGCCGACATTTTGTAAATGTAAACATGAATATACACATTAATAAAATACAGCAAAACAAATGTAAAATAAAAAAAAATACCAGTTTCTTTAGGAATATGCTTTAATGTGCTTAATATGCTTAAAAATATGTTTGATATCGCCTGTTTTAAATTCTTCCATGTTCTAACTTTTCTTTTTTCAAAATTTAGTTGCTACTTTTATGAATTTAACAAGTACATTGTCTCTTTCAACAACAGAAAAAAGAAGTAATTCTACTACCTTTAATAATACTATTGATAGCAATATTAATCATAAGAAGAATTATCTTGAATCCTGTTCTGAAATTGTTTTAAATATATACCACTAGGCCACTTTTTATGTACTTTAAATATAAGACATCAATGGTTACTGATGTTGACAAAGGCGATCATGTGTACAGATGACATGTCTTAGATTTAGTTCTGAAGAGATGCCTATTAAATGCTGCAGCTATAAAGACTTGACTGATTGTTTGCATTTGACTTCGCTTTGAGCACCTGTTTGGTGTCTTTATGCTGCATTATTACACTCATCAGTGTCTTTCTTCAAATATATTACAGCCTTTGTATCTTTTTGGTTTTGTTTCCTTTTCTACCCTGTCATCATCCAAGCTTCTAATGCATAGCCACCAAGTTTAATTCTAGTTCAACTCCTCATGTTTGTTACTTGTTTATTTTTATCCCCATTAGCTTTTGCAAAGCAGCAGTTATTCTTTATGGGGTCTTCACCATTGACATTTAACAATACAAACATCTCTCAAGATAATTTGATAACACAGTACGCATGTGTTAATCATGCATTGTTGGCATTGATTTTAAATCAAGATTTGATGAAATTCCTTGCTTCCTTTCAAATGGGCAGAGCCTATATGAACATTTTCATAAAACTTTGCTCGCATGAGACAATGTTATACATTGATATGTGGGAAAGTACTGACAAATGCACTAAAATAATGTTCACCCCTTTGGTATTTTTATGTTTTGCTGTATCACAACATAGTATTTAAATGGATTGTTCAAGAGTTTGTATCTTTCATTGACAGAAAGCACTTCCTCCTTAAATGTCTTTGTTTTCT